CCCAAAAAAGGCCATTGGAGGCCCCCAAAAGGGCCCAAGAGTGCTTCAGAAAACCTCTGGACGGCCCCAGCTCCCCAAGACGGCCCAAGAAGGCTCCAGGACGGCCCAAGAAGGCCCCAGGACGACCCGAAAGAACTCCAAAAACGCCAGACGGCGTTCTTCTCCGACGCCAGACTCCAGACGCCATCGAGGTGACCCGAAGATCTCGGTTCCACGCCTGAGGCTCGAGGTTTACACTCATCGTTCGAGAGAGACAGGCAATGGATCTAGATTCGAAGGTCGACTGTCAAAGATTTCCTGAGTGTTTGGGGCCCTCCAGGCATTCAGAAGGCGACCGAAAATCGATTTGTTCGGAGCTACTGCGACTTTTTCGGCGTGTCACGGGAATTCTTCACGCTTCGCGTATCCCCACCAGCCCATCTCAAAACAGCAACTCTTGCGAAGCATGCCGACAGTCGTGTTTTTCAGGCGTGTTTCCGCCTGCCCCCGCATATCTCCGGGCCTCTCGTCCTGGTGTGAGTCGTTCGGGCCCTTCTTCCTGGAGTGAGTCGTTGGGGCTCTTCGTCGTGGTTTGAGTCGTTCGGGCTCTTCGTCCTGGCGTGAGTCGTTCGGGCTTCTCGTGGTGTGAGTTGTTCGGGCCCTTCGTCCTGGTGTGAGTCGTTCGGGCTCCTCCTCCTGGTGTGAGTCGTTCGGGCTCTTCGTGGTGTGAGTCGTTCGGGCCCCTCGTCCTGGTGTGAGTCGTTCGGGCTCCTCGTGGGGCCTCTTTGGGGCCTCTTGGAGCCTCTTGGGGCCTCTTGGGGGCCTCTTGGGGGCCTCCGGGGAGCCTCTTGGGGGCCTCTTGGGGTCTCTTGAGGCCTCTTGGGGGCCTCTTGGGGGCCTCTTGGGGGCCTCTTGGGGCCGCTTGGGGGCCTCTGGGGGGCCTCTTGGAGGCCTCTTGGGAGCCTCCTGGGGGCCTCTTGGGGCCATCTTGGGGCCTCTTGCGACCTCGTCAGAAGCGCAAATGAGAGCTGCCCCCTGAGAAGGACAAAATGAGCCCCAAACCTTCGTAAAATCAATGATTTTGCTATGAAGGAAGATGAGCGCGGCCCCCTCAGGACGCCAAAATGGAGCCCAAACCGTAGTAAAATCAATGATTTTGGCTTCAAAGAAGAGCAGAGGGGCCTATCTCCCTCCCCCCGTCGGGGCCAGAATCCTCGTGAGGGTCGTCGTTTTTTAGCCCTTGTTCGGAGCTACTGCGACTTTTTCGGCGTGTCACGGGAACTATCCTCACTTCCTCAAATGATCGGTTCAACCACCAGAGGAGGCACAAGAGGAGGAAAGAAGGAGGAAGGGATGGGTAGGTATAACCTTGGAGATGGCAGATGAAAAGCCAGACAAAGCGTTTTTCCCCACCTCCTCTCATGAGGAGCCGGTCGCCCGTCCAGGCTTCGAGGTCCCCCGTGCCGAATGAAACATGCAATGATCGATTGCTTTGCCGCGGAAGCGTCCGGAACAAAGCCGCATGGCGCGAAGTGCCAATGCAGTCTTGTTTGTATATATATATATACACATATCACGATACGCATATGTATGTTTGTATGCATATGTAAATAAGGCTACATATGCCCACATACCAATGCATGTGCAGGTGTTTCTGTCATACACACACACACACATATATATATACATATATATATATATATATATATTCCTCTTGTTATATTTTTACAAGCCCGGGGGGGGGGGGGGACCCCCCAAAAAAAACTGGACCCCCAGGATCTGGGGTTCTCGGGCTCCCTTGGACGTCCTTGGAACAGGTCACCCGGCTTTCCGGGTCTCCACAAACGCCTTGCCAGCAGACCCAGAGCGATCCGAGGGGTCATCAGAAAGGCTCAAGGGAGGCCCCAGACAGCACAAGAGCGCTCCAAGAGGGACTCCAATTGCGTCAGGACGGCCCAAAAGACCCCCAAGGCACCCCAAAAAGCTTTCCAAGGGGCCTTCAAAGCACAAACATCGTCCCATTCCCTCGTAAAACTTACAATTTTAGCATATTCGCCTTTCGGATTTCATCAGCTTTCAAGACGGTTTCAAAGCCCCCGAGATCGCCTCAAGACGCCCCAAAAGGCCCCCAAGAAAGCTTCAAGACGGCCGAGCCGGGCCCCACGATCGCCCACGAGAGCCCCAAGACAGCCCATAATGGAACCAAGAGGCCCCCCAAGGGCTCCCAGCACAGACCCAAAAGGGCCATGGGAGGTCCCCGGAAGTGCCCAAGATGGGTCCAAAGGGGGCTCCAGCGGGCCCAAGCTCCCCAAGACGGCCCAAGAAGGCCCCAGGACGGCCCATGAAGGCGCCAAAACGGCCCACGAGGGCCCCGAAAACACCCCCACGATGTTTCCGAATGCCAACATAAAGACCCCCAAGGCACCCCAAAAAGCTTTCCAAGGGGCCTTCAAAGCACAAAAATCGTCCCATTCCCTTCGTAAAACTTACAATTTTAGCATATTCGCCTTTCGGATTTCATCAGCTTTCAAGACGGTTTCAAAGCCCCCGAGATCGCCTCAAGACGCCCCAAAAGGCCCCCAAGAAAGCTTCAAGACGGCCGAGCCAGGCCCCACGATCGCCCACGAGAGCCCCAAGACAGCCCATAATGGAACCAAGAGGCCCCCCAAGGGCTCCCAGCACAGACCCAAAAGGGCCATGGGAGGTCCCCGGAAGTGCCCAAGATGGGTCCAAAGGGGGCTCCAGCGGGCCCAAGCTCCCCAAGACGGCCCAAGAAGGCCCCAGGACGGCCCATGAAGGCGCCAAAACGGCCCACGAGGGCCCCGAAAACACCCCCACGATGCTTCCGAATGCCAACGTTCATTGATTTTGCTCCCATGACATTTCACATTGTGACCCAGTCGTTGAGGGTCTCGTGGCATGCAGCGAAGATGCCCGAGGATGCCCCGTACGAGTTGCATATGCATGTTCATACCCTGACACATAAATTTATATGTACATATGTACGCTGTATACACACATACAACAATGCAAGTATTTTGTGTACACCTAGACATTTATACGGAACGTGCATGCACGTGCGCGTGTATACATGCATGCGCGCATGTACGCACGCACGCACGCATTCCGCTTGCGTGCACAACTCAAAGGACCAAGGTGCATGGCGCGCAGCGCCAATGCAGTCTTGTATAATGCATAATGTATATATATATATATATATATATATTTGTGTACCACGCTTGTATTTATATATGCGTACATGCATATATATATATATGCACACGTATACATGTGCACACCTAGATTTATACATGGCGTGTACGTTCGTGGTCGCATCTTGTCCATGGCTGGTGGGTCCGTGTAGATGCAGTCGTAGGATTGTGTAGGCGCGTCTGGGAAACTTCAACATCAGTAAGTGCGTATGCCGATGTGCATGTAGTGTGGGTACGGCACACGCGCACGGGCATGTGCTGGCGTCAAGCAGGGGATCCAGCTCGGGGCTCTTCTGGGGTGCGGTGCTCCGCCCCTGCCCCCCGTGGAGTGACGGGGGGCCGCGGACTGCATGCCAGAATTCGATACCAACGGGGACGGGGTGCTGAGCTACGACGAGTTCAAGGCTCGGAGCCCTTGCGGGCCAACCTGGCGGGCCCGCGAGGAGAGCCCTGGGGCGATGCGCGCACCTGGGTGCGCCCATGGGGGCTTTCAGCCACGCGCATAGCGGGCCAGCAGGAGGATGAGGGCTTGCCAAAAACACACTCTTTCCTTAGAAGGCGCGTGCCCCCTTCTAACAGACTGGTGGATGCCTCTCAGAAGCTGCTCCTTGCGTGCTTCTACGGAGCGGCTGGTTTACTCAGAAGAAGCCGTTCCGTGCTTCTAAAAGGTTGCTCTGTATTTCTAGGAAGTTGCTGGGCTGCTTCCGAGAAGCGTCGCGCCCGTGGCTTCTTAGATGGGCGGCTGGCGTCTCGAAGAAGCCACCACCACCTAATAAGCACTTAGCCCTCCCTCTACCCCTTGGCGCGCGCCGCAAAACCATTCGGGCTGCGAAGGAGTATCGTACACCACTTCGGTGCGTGTCAGGGGGCACGCTGGTCGACACGTAGTCGGAGTGCTTCTTTTTGGCCCCGCACTCCAGCTGTGTCCCGAGAAGTACATGGCTCCCACGGTGTAGTGTGATTTGCGTTTTCGTGTGCCCGCATATTGATGGCTGCATGTGCTTCCAACGTGCGTGTTTGAGTTCCTGTCAGATAGCATCATACCTGTGAGACTTCAGGTGCGGCTTTGGATCGAGCCATGCCCCTTGCCGAGCGGGTGATGTGATATTTCCCTGCCGCTCGTTTGGTTGGGCAGGGTTGCACGATACGACACACGTTTCTGATCATCTGAAGGCTCCCCCCTTTGTTCCCCCCTTGTCGCCAGCCCCCTCTTCCTCTTTTGATTGACTGCGTGGCTGTGTTGGGCTGGGTTGGGTTGGTTGAAAGGTTGGCTGATTGGTTTGCATGTCGGTTTCTCGGACTGTTGGCTGTTCGAAGCGCGGACCGATAATTCTTGACAACGGGCCACGCCTTGGGAGCGCGGACCCGTTGTCGTTTGCAGAAGGTGTTGATGTTGGCAGCACGGTAGTTGTCTATTCCTTTGTATCTGTGCTCGGCTTACTCCCGAGGGGTCGTGGACTTGGGAGCGGAAGCGTGTTGCTTTTGTTCTGGAGCGTAGATTCAGTGGCCTCGGGGTGGTGGTGGAGGGTTTCTTCGAAGGGCTTAGGCGACCGGTCCTCCTCCTCCTCCTCCTCCTCCTCCTCCTTCCGTAGCCTTTTTGGCTCAAGGCCAAAATGGTTCCCTTCGAGCTGCCTCAGCGGGGTAGGCTCCCATTCGATCCCCGTCCGTTCAGGACCTTCATGTGAACTCTCCTCGCCCCGCGATGACTCGGCTGCCTCTTGTGCCTGGCGCTGGGCAACTCCCTCTGGCCCCTGCAGGTCATCGCACGGACTCCTCCGACACAGACGGCGCTCGGCGCAGCGCCAGCAGGAGTGGAGGTGCCGACGGTCCTCCGCGTGAAGAACCCGATCGACGACGACACCACCGGCCTCAGGACTACGATCGCCAGCCGCAGCGCTCCCAGCAGCAATCTCGTGAAGAACGACGAGGTGGCGCAGGACGACCTGGGGGTCCCCATCCGCGACGTGGTGGCGCCATCGCTCCTCGTCCTCTTCCCGTCCATCTTCCCTCGCAAGACTCGTTCCCTGCTGCCCACGACGCCGCCGCCACATTCCCCTTCACAAGGGCGTGTTAAGGATCTTCTGGCGCGCGCTGACCCGTGGCAAAGTCAGCCCTAGATCGCCCGCCTGTTCAAGAACAGCTTCACCCTGGCACCGCGGCAGTTGGATCGGCGTCTTCCGCAGCAGCTGGTGGCCTCGAAGCGCTCACGAAAGCCCTGCATGGCCTGCTCACGGTCCACGTGGACACCACCCTCGCCACCTTCAAAGTCGATGCAGCCCGTACCGTCGCGAAGTCCATCCATGACTCCCAGACGCTCCTCTCCAGACGTATTGATGGCAGTGAGAGCGAGGTCGCATCCTTGCGACAGCGCGTTTCAGCATCGGAAAAAGCCCGGGACGAGACGAAGCAGGCTGTCGCCCACATACACAGAGCCCCCGCTCTGGCTCAAGCTCAGGTGCCCATCACCGACCTCGCTGCGAAGGCAGATTTCGATAGAGTTCCTGATCCCTCCGTGTTCACAGTTGGTTGTGCCGAGCTTGTTTCTCCAGCTCAAGTTCAACAAGGGCTCGCTGCGTGGTTTTCTGACTCAGGAGTGGATTGGTCCAACGCTACCCTCGTGGGGGACGTCCCCGCCAAGTTCGTCGTCCGACTTCTCGTGGGCCCTTTTTTCGCGGCCCCTCGAGCTGCGGCTTTCGTTCGAGGCTTTCGAGTACGAGGAGGTGCTTGGAGAAATTCCAGACGCGCGCAGTCACAGGTCAGGCTCTTCAGCTCTGCGTCGGCGCAGACCGAAGCCCTTGGCAGATTCGGCGGGTGATTCAGACTCGTCGGCTTCGTCGGCTACCCTCAAACGCATTACCCGACGCAGACCAGCGTCCCTACAAGCAGAAGGAGCGCATTACCAGTGGTGGTGTCGCGCTCGCGCGGTTGGAGGTTGGCGCCGCCGCCGCAGCCGAGACCGAGCTGGTCTGGAACCTCCATCTCGCACGATACCTACAAGTCGATACAGCCGCCATCGCCAAGTCCTTCCACAATTTCTTTTCGGTGGATCGGGGCATCTCGTGGGGGTGGCAGTCAGCGCGGCCGCGGCTCTTCGGCGCTGCGTCTGGCAACGTGGAACGCACGAGGACTCTTTGCGGTCAGTGTTCTTCGACGCAGAGCTACATTTTCTCTCTTCCTCCCGCTGATGCGCCAATAGTATATCATTCTTCTTCAAGAAGTTCATGGTGATCTTCCTAGGTTCCGACGAGCTATACAAGCGCTCCTTGTACAAAGTGATTATATGCACAATGACATTATCGATCCTGGCATTGGCGACGCGGCCTTCCTCCTCCCCGAGGACCCAGGCATGGGCCTTGTCGACCGCCGCCACATGCAGTCGGCACCAGGTACTCCATCAGGATCGGCACGTAGCTCCGCGTCCTTTTCGGCCTCCTCATCTGAGTCTTCATCGTCCTCTGATGCGTCCTCTTACGAACAAGCCGAACCTGGCCCAGGTGTTGAAGACGAAGACAGCTACACTGGGCTTCTTCTTCGCAGTCACTCTCCGCTGGACTCCTCCGGCTGGCCGGCGCCATTTCAGCGACTCCCGATTTTGAAAGCGTCACATGGTGACCAAGTCACGCCATATCCTGCTGCCCAACTCTTTTCCATGGTGCGCGGATGGGCGGCCTGGCGCAATGGATCGATTGGTGCGTTCCGTTTGTATTTTGACAGCTTCCACGCCAACGGTTCGATCCGCTCCTCGCCAATGTGGGCGATGACTCATGCGCCGCCACCTCTCAGAGCTTTGCAGAGATCATGTGCATAAGGGCGTGGCAAGAGGTAGCGGTGGGTCGGGATGTGAACCGACTGTTTGTCACCAGTGGTGTCGACAGCAATCCTCAGCTCCGGCGTGAGCTTGCCCATCGTCGTCAAATCTACGAAAGGCACCGAGGGTGGCGTGGCCCGCGTCATCCTCGTGACTTCGGTCTTCCCCCCATCCAGGAGAACGGACATTTGGAGGCGCTTAGAGGGCGCCTCGATGATCCAAATGTCGGATCGCTCGCCAGCAAGTGTTCAGGCTGCCCTCGCAGATGCCGATGCGACAGGCCTGGCCAAGCCCGAATCGCTGCCAAATCTTGGAGATGCAATGTCACTGCATTCGTATGCCGCCTCTGCGGCTATCGTGCGGTCCCCGTACATCAGCGCAGAGTTCGCTCCTGACCTGCATGGCGAAGCGATCTGGGCCGTCCTCTACAGCGACCCGTCGAACGACTGGTTCCTCAGGCCCTGCGTCGCGCTCGTCAGATGCGGGCCCGGGTGCTCCACGTGGCGCGACTTCTCGCAGTGGTTCGAGCACCTCGTTTACAAGATCCTCCAAACTACCTGGGAGTGATTTGGTTAGCTCGACACCTACGTTGATGTCTGTTGACCCCCCCTTGCAGGTGGCAGCTGCGCCCGATGCCCCTCCCTGCCGTAATAAGGGATTTAGGAGGGGGGCGGTCCCGAGTCGCTCCCGTGCCAGCTCTGCGCCAACTGCGACTCCTGCTGGCCGCTCTACGCCCGCTACCGCCCCTTCGTCGATATCTTTTCCTTCAGCTCCGTCGCTAAAGGTCAAACATCTCTCTGCCAGCGACAGCGCCGACTGGCGCGATCTCTTGGACATCCTCTGGTCCTCGGTGGCCGTCGGTTCTTGTGATGTCTCCGACCTCCTCTTCGCAGATCATTGTGTTCCATCTGGTGTTGACTGTGGGCAAGGTGCGCTCGCATGATTATTTGTAGAGGTAAATGTCTTGCCATTATCTTGCGTGTGCGCAACTATGATCGCCCCGCCCCGCAGCTGAACGAAGGACGATATTCCAACATTGGCAAGCTACCCATCGGTGGACGCAGCAGCGCCCCATGGATAAGTTGCATGGCTCTTGGCGACTGCAGCGTTTGCGACGAACCCGCAGTGCAAGTTCATCGCCCTGGGCCACTTCAACTTCCCGCGCCTGGTGGACATGCATATGAGCAATCCAGTTGGAGGCGCCACTTTTCATTCACGACGGAAATCACCTCCGGCGAACCGACGCGGTGGGATTCCAGTGCAGCTACCAGGACCCGCAGTCAGCTTCTGCCTCCAATGCGATGCCAAATGCGTTTTCCAACCGCCAGCTTCAGGTTCACGCTCAGCATGGCGCCGCCACTGTCAGTGACAGTCGACTCATTGACTATGCTATTCTAGCGCTACATGTCGATATGGCGACCCCACGTAAGGAGAACGCCCGACTCATTCAAGAGTTATTCTTCGCGCTCCCCTTGCGCGCCAAGTCGTGCAATCTTGTCTCCCAGCGTTCCGAGGGCCTCGCCTTTGCCCCGACCATGGCGTGGAGGGCGATCAAAGCGAACGTGGTTGAGGCCGCGCGCCTCTCAAGGAATCATCTTCTACAGCTTCCTGGTGGTCAGCGTGGGCAGGCCCCCGCCGAGGCGCGACTGTTGGCGTGTCGTTCGATCTCCCGAGCTGCGTGGCGTCAGGATTCCTCGCTCGCTGCCGCCCTCCTCTCGATGGGTCCGCGTGCCGCCCCTTCGCCCGAGCTCGAGAACGACCGCGCGCTGCTCGCCGAGGAGGAGGCGTTTGCGGAGCTCTCCCAGAAGACCCACCATGAGCACTGCGACGGGCGACGGCGGCGGCTCGGCGCGCTGCGCGAGCGGGGCGGGAGTTGGAAGCAGCTCGCCAGCAGGAAGCCCCTCGCGCGGCGCATCGCCGAGCACGTGCCTGGGCGCCCTTTGCCCGCGTCGCCCCGCTGGTTGGCGCCCGCGCCCCCGACGGGCAGATGATCGCCGAGTCTCTGCGCGACGTGGCGCAGGCGCTCCAGGCCCACTGGCCCCCCATCTTTGCCCGCGAGGATGTCGACTTTCGCGCCGTGGGCGCATTCGTTCAGCAGCGTGCCCCCTCTCTGTCTCGACCTCCGCAACTTGTTCTACCTGCGCCCGCTGCCCTCCGCAGGGCACCCCTGCGTGCTAGAGCCTCTGCGCCCGGCCCCGAGCGCCCCCCATTCCGCGCGTGGCTCTCGGCGCCCGCTGCGCTGGATGCGCCGGGGGGCTGGCCTGGGACATGCTGGAATCGGGCCCGGCGCCGACAGGATTCAGAGACTCCATTTCCTCCTTCATCCTGAGGGGGGCAGATGACGACGACGCTTCGGCGCGCGCCCGGGCACCTGGCGCCCTTCGTCCGATTTCGCGCAAGAAAACCGACAGCGAGCTGTTTGTGTCCGCATTCAATGAGCATATGCGCATTCCAGTCGAGGTGCGTGCCCACCAGATTCAGCAGGGCTTCATCCGCGGCTGTAGCTTCTGCCGCAACATCGCGGTCATGGACGTGCTTCGGCGAGCTGCAGGCCTCCCCCAGACGCGAGCGCAGATCGCCCCGTCCATGGTCTTCTTGACATCGCGGCAGGGTTCCCTTCCTTGGGCCGCGATGACTTTATTGCCACGTTGTCGAACTGCTGCTTCAAAAAATCGGCGACGCACATGGAGTGGTGTCGCTATCGGGACACTACCACTACATTGCTATGGGCGCTATCATTCGCGCGCTCGACGCTCAGATCGGCTCCGCTGATGTGGGTGCTGCGGCAGCATGTGCTGACGATCTAGTGCTGCACCTCAATCGGCCTCGGGACCTACCTGCGCTGCGCCCTATCTTTCATGCCGCTGGGCATCGCGGGCACCTGCGACTCCGTTCAAAGAAGTGCATCATCATCCCGCCGTGGGCCGCCACGACGCCGCAGGCACAGCGGGAGGTCCGATCGTTCCGCGCCACTCGCATACCTGAATGGCAGCACTTTGACATTCGAGGGTTTGGCACTTACCTTGGTACGAAGATTGGGCCTGCGGCGACGAATCAATTGCAATGGCAGGCGTCTTCCAACAAATGTTGGATGCGTATTGTGGTACTCTCTAGTACTGGAGCTCCGGCGGACGTGCTGGCCAGGCTGTGTCAGACTTCATGCGTCGCGGTCTTTGGCTACATCATGCACCTCTTCGATCTCCCACGGGGCATCTTACAGCGTGAGATCCATGCGCTTCATCGAATACTCAGGCTTTCACCCAACACTATGCGACTTACGGATATCGCGGCCCTCGCTACCTGGTCTCCATCTCGAACCCCGCAGAGGCTGGTACCTTGCAGCGTTGCCTCACTATGGCGTGCCTTTCAGTGCGCGATTCAGGCCTGGTGGCCATTCCTCGACCTCCTGAGCGACGCGGACCTGAAACACCTCCCGTTGGTGTCCCATATTAGGGGCCGATGGTCGCCTGCATTCTGGCAAAGTCAGACGGCGATTGTGCAGCGTTTCGCTCGCGTGCAGGCAGGGCTCGCGGACGCCCCCT